CAATCCCTAATGACAATCTGAAATTGGAAAATATTTTCACAAATTAACAAAGATTGTGGGGTTTTAATATAACTAATTATGTGAGCCACACTTTCCTCCAACCCTGATCATCCTATAAAGAAGTATGTTTGAACACATACTGACTTTCTCATTGTGGAACAGATCATCTTTTATAGAAAGATTACAGGCAGAAGCATACACAGTAAAAAAATGGTATATTCCTGCACAAGAGATCTATGTTTTACTGAGATGTTGCAGTATCTAGGTAGTAGATATGTTATTACAAAATTAGACTTAGAACTGAATCTACACACTGGGATATAGATAGGCTGACATCTTTGTGCAGTGATATCCAAAATTTTTAATTCCCTACATTTAATTAATGTTAGAAAAAAAATGATTAATACTTCATAAGACTTCAGCCAACTGTACTAGTGGGTTGAGAAATAAGCTTTTAAGGCCTTGAAGAGAAAAGCTGTCTTTTACTTAGAGTAATAGTTTAATAACTTAGCTACAGACTCCCTTTACTTCCCATTAGGTCTCTATAAGAAGCTATAAGATTTGTAGTTATTAAATGATTTCCTTGACAAGAACAGCTTCTTTTATTGCGTCAAGGAATTCCTCCAGCATAAGATGCCTCATAATAATGCCAGCTCTGTTTCACAAAAAAAAGGAAAATCAGCTACCTCCATTTTAGAATGGTCTAGTTATTCTGCATAGTTCTATTAGAACTGCTGCTTTGGTCTGTTTAGGCGATACGGTGAGGTTTCTGGATTCCAGTAGTGAACCAGATTGCAGTATAACTTTAATGAGATGTATTGGACCAGATGGCTCTTGACATGCAGATAATGTAGAATTAAAAGAGCTTAATTCATCTAAGAGACGGCTAGTCTTAACGCCTTCAGAATTATCCAGTTTAGTGGCTACTGGTTTTAGAAACTTAAATGACATTTTAAATCTCAGTCTGTAGTATTGCAGAAGCTGCCTTAATCTTGTATTCTGACATTTTCTCTATGTAGTGTGTTTGCTTGAATAATGTAGCCGAAGTGCTTGGAGGTCAAAAGTCTAATTAATTTTAGCTATGTTCCTGGGAAAAACAGGAAACAGTGAGTAGACTGTGCTAACCAAGTTCAATCAAGCAAATGAAACTTGAAATTCCATATGCCATAGTGAAAATTAACCACTCTGCTACTACAAAATTGAACAGTTCACACACAAACAAATTATGATTCAAACAGCTCAGGAACTACAGTAAAAACAAACAAACAAACTGCAAAAAATCCTCCAAAACAAAATTAAAAAAACCCCAAACAAATCCAACCCAACAAAAAAAAAATCCATTATGAATAGTTCATGCTCCATTACAATGAAGTCGGTATAATCATTGAAAAGCACAAGGTGGATACTAACTTAAACATTAAGAGAGCTGTTGAACAAGTTCAATGTAAGTTTTATTTACTTTTATATGTTGAAACATATAATGTATAAACGAAAAATTGAATAGCTCAACTTCAGATTCTAGGTTGCATATGAAAGTTTGGCCACTGTGAAATAGGATTTTTTTTTCTTTTCAGAATTAACTAATTTGCTCTAGAACCCTCCAGAGAATCACTAGTGCATGATCCTCACAGTATCATTTTTACAGTGACTCCTTGCTTCTCTTTCCAATGTATTTAACAACTCAATCTTTAGTGATTTCAGTATGGGCCTGAATGGGCCTTTTCCTTTTATATACAGCATCAAATTCACAAAAGAATGTTAGATTTTTTTTCCTCCAGTTATCCTATGAATAGCATTTCAGATCAGGATTTGGCATTCACTTTTCATGCTTGCAAGAAAAAAGGGGTAGTTAAAAGACAGTTTTAATATTATAGTAAAATAATTAAGATCCCCTCTTCCAGTTCAATGCTATTAAAAGACAATACTGAATTTTTTAATGTCAGAAAATACTGTATGCAGTGGTACTACCTGTTAATATGTATGTCCTGTACATTTCTGCAGAAAGGTAGCAAAATTAATATGCAAAGCAGGCTGACTACAACCTTGAGGAATACTAAAGTTTTCTTAATTTTTTTTTCTTTTAAAGTAAAAAAGAAGATATCTTTCTGTGCTTTTGGCAAGTATAGGCCTTTTTTTTTGTTTTTTAAATCTGCTTTTTCCAAGTCAAACAGAAAATTCATTTTAGTAAACAGATAATTTTACACATTGTGCTCATGGGTTATTTGTGAACGTAATCTATATCTTGCTGCTTCTCCTAAAATTCCCAAGAAGATGCAGAAAAAATAACACGATTTTATAACTCACACAAATACCAAATTTGAATTATTAATTCGGTTATTTTCTCATCTTCACAACTGAAATGAGTTTAAAGCTCATCTTCCAAAGAAGAAACATAGTTAAAAAAGCAATTGTCCATTTTTATTTTGTTTACATTGCACTGAAAATTTACATCATACTTTTACAAATCCTTTTTCATAAAAATATACTTCTTTACAAAAGTGTATGCATTAATATAAGAGGAGTAGCCAGTTGCAGAAGAAACATTTTAAACGATCTCAAATGTATTAACCTTAACATTAATGAATGAATCATAGTTATTGCAGTCATTTGAATAAACAAGAATAAATAACAACCAATGGTATAAAGTATAAAACAGCATCCTTTTAGTAGAATACAGTTTGACAGAGTTGTATGAACATTCAAAACAAAGTGTTGTAAAATGGTTTATAAGAAATTCGTCAAACATTATAGAAATCCAAGCAGCAATCCTGGGTACAATGATTTTTGGTAGGCACTCTCTATTACGGTAATAAAAATTTTAGATTTTCACAGAATTATTAATGTCTGAAAGGGACAATAACAGATAATTCACACTGGCTTAACACACAGCATTTTTGAGTCATGCTATGAATGGAAGACAATGACCTACATCAAATAAATTACTGAGGTGCCACTGAATAATTCTGATATGAAATACCTGTAAAACTAAAAATTACATGTCCTTTGATGTGATTCTGGAATGTCTAAACCTCGTATCTGAGGGCTGTGGAATCTCAACTGTCCCCAAAATGAATGGATTGTCCCTAATAAAATCATGGCTTTATATATATATATATATTTAATTTTTTTTTTCCCTTGCACTATGGTAATATATTCAATTTTAAATCATTAGCCATAAGGATTTGTTTCCATAAAGTATGGAATATATATATAAAATAGATATGAAAGCACAGTATTTCCAAATTATAACTTCCTCTTGACTTGCAGGTCTAATCCAAAGTTCATTGAAGTCTGCTGGAACGCATCAACTTCAATGGGATTTCGCCAAGCTTTGTGCATGCATTTTGACAAAATGCTGAAGGAATAAACTGATGTGATATGGTCTAGATTTAACTAGCATAGATTGAAAAATGGAGTCTTAAATTTTTGATATATGGATTTGATTACTAATGTTACTGTAAACTGCACTTTTTAATTGGAAACATCATTAAATTATGTTTTCACATTTGAAAAAATTGTAAGATGGTGACTTTTTTGAACGGTCTTCAACACTAAGGAACATAGCCACATGACAAAGTTCAATTCATACTAGCTTCAGTTGCAAAATATGTCTAGTTTTATGATTGACAAAAGAAAAGTAGAAACATTACCATTTGTGGGTATTGTTAATGGAAACAGAGAAAAGGAGCTTGACATAGAACATGAAAGGGAAAGAAGATGCGACGCAGGGAAGGAAATTCTTTAAATAAGAACATGCCAATTTTTCTTCTGTGACATGAAAAGAGTAAGTTGTACTTGCCAATTTCTGAATACTACATCTGGGACTTAAAAAATAAACTGTTCTGAGAAAAATAAAATAGAAAACAGGCTGAATAAATGAAAAAAGTTACAAACTCATGAGAAAAATGTAGCATATGACTGTTAAAGAGAAGTCAGTGTCCTATCTTCTCCTGTAAGTATAGCTCTTATTTTCTACCTATATCTTTTTTTTTTTTTTTTTAACCCAGTCCCTCTATTATAGTTTTTATAAAGCACAGGAATACTGATAGTGGATGCTCCTCCAATATATGCAAATATGTTTTATGTTTTAGAATAACCTCCTTTTTTAAAAAAGCAAATAAACTGTGAGTAGCACTCATGGAGTGCAGCAAATTTTTTTAACACTCTCCGTGGTATACACAAAGAAGAATTCTGATCCAGTTTATGAAAAACAAAATCAAAACAAAATAACCACAATCCATTCTTGTCTATCATCCTCAGGAAAAGGTGACCCACTATATCCTGAAAAGTGTGCTTTAATTTATTTTTTTTTAATTTCTTTTTTTTTTTTTTTTTTAATCAGTGAACTGTGTGTGCACCGTGTTGTGTGTCAATTTCCAGGCTTTGAAGACATATCATTACCACATTATACCATTGTGCAAACAGTGTTCAAGTTGGGGTCAAATCGTACCGCTTTCCCTTCCACAGACTTCGCATTTGTGTCATACATGGGGTTTTCAAAAGCAGCTTGTCCGTTATTATTTTCATGTACAGAGCATCCTGTATACTGTGTTTTAGGTGCAGTCCTGTAGAAGAAAGACAGAGTATTTGTAACTGCAATTTTCCTCACTGACTTGATGTGGTTTAAGAATCTGAACAGAATTTAGCTTCCAATTCCAACTATGGGAGCTAATATAACATCTCAATATTTTTACAGTATCTCTGCTAAGAATTAGAACTCTCTTTATGAAAGTTTAAGGGATTTATGATTCATTTAAAATGGTGTTCACTTAAAAACTTAGTAAACAACCTGAAAAGAAGTAGGTATTTCCACTTGGACAATCAGGTGATAAATAGCTAACACTACAACAAAATCTTGCAAAGATGCAGTAATTCTCCAGCCAGATGACTGAAATTTTCTTTTCCCCTCTGGAAACTCAGTAAGTTTATCAAGAATGAATTTATAGCTGAAACATTTTCTTTTTCAATAAATAGTAATAATATAAAATGTAAAGACAAGTGCTTACAGCATATAATTAAAAGCAAATGTATAAAAAAACCTACATGAGCATTTTTTCATCTTCTGAAGGATTCAAAAACAAGTGGTACCATTTAAAAATGATGGTATGTGTTTTAAACTAATGATATCCTTCAGGGTATATCACAATTAGGCTACCAGATGTAAATCACCATTTTGACATTTAGTAGGCAAATAATTGTCTTGTCATTAAAGTGTTTAAATTTTCTTTAGTCATCTCATGTTTTAAAGCTATAGGTAAAGATCACTTGACACTAAATCCAAAGAACTAATACTGGTCTCGATAACACAATCAAAACTGTTGAACTTAAGAGTAATGAAATTGTGAAGACTGGTGGCTATGTAACATAATTGCATATGAACTAATAATTTCAGATGCAGAAACAATTCCATAATGAAACCTCCCAATGACATAATACTTGCACATATTTGCAAGCCAATAAACAGAACAGGCATTAAAATAAATTACACAAGATATGACTCATAATTCTGTCACGTGTAAAAAAAAAAAAAAAAAGTCAATGTATATAAGTGCACATAAAGTCCACTAATTATATTGTTCCCATATCCCCATATGCCAATAATTTATAGCATCCATTTTGTATCATAAAAGAGAGAAATTTATAACATTTTAAATAAGTAGGAATGAAAGCATAGCATGGTACATTAAACTGATCTCTCAGTCATTATGCCAGACCTTGACGGACGCAGGAAGAACTGACTACGTGCATATTTTGCAACCATTTTGTGGTTTCACAGAAAACTTTATTTAAACTAATGAAGACTGAAGGCAATATAAACATGAAGTCACACAGGATTTCTATATATGTAATTTGTACTTACCTTTGTTTATAAAGATAAAAGCCAAAACCAGCAAATATAAGGGCAAAGAAAGGCACAAGGATAGCAATGGCCACTGAACTACTATTTGTACCATGTGGTTGATTAGAAGAATTTGAACCCTCAGACATGTTAAGACCTAAAAAGAATAATAAGAAAAAACAAGTAATATAATATATGTGTCTGTTACCCCTGGTACATATTACACCATACATTTCAGAATTCCATAGCACCTTGTGATTTGGTCATCATAATGTGTTCAGCTGTATGCATACAGCTGTATGCTGAGACCACCTGGAAAGTAAACTTACCGTGGTATACCATATTCTGATTAATATGTGAATGCAAAATGTTGGGGAAGCAATACATATACACTGGTACAGTAAATATCCTACTGCATAATTCTGTATAGGATTCAAGTTTTGGATACTACTAATACATGTTAATGCACTGTGTTACAAAAAGTTAAACTTATAAAACATATGTTAGACTGATTATATTAGTATTTTTCAGAAATTAACAAATACTGTATGTATAAAACGCAAACATGATTTCAAGGAAAGAGTAAATCATCTGAAAAGGCAAACTGAAAATTCATCATGTTGATTTCATTAGGCACTGCTAATTGATACATAGAGTGAAAGAGGTAAGAATAGTGAAGATCTAAAGCTAGATATTGATGAAAAAATAAGAATATGATCTGCTGCATGGTTGAGAAACATATTATCTAGATTATGTGCATAGACAAGATATACATCTTTTTCATGTGAGAAAAGGAATACCAATGCAGCTTCAAAGTTAATTTTTCAGCTTTGAACTGAACCTATTAAGAATTGCTTAGGTCATAATGTTTTCTGTCCTTCCTGATCTTACAAGGCAATATATAGAAATTAAAAAAAAAAAAACCAACAATACTAAAAACCCAACAATAACCAGATAATCAATATACTAAAATAAGAAAAATAAATTAAATGGTGAGAGCTGTGGTTTGGCTGGGACAGAATCCCAGCCCAGCCATGCTGGGCAGGCTGTTAGCAGTTCAGAGTCAGCCAGGGCAGCTGACCTGAGTTAGCTACAGGTGTAGCCCATACCATAATGTTTTGTTCATTATAAAGGGAGAAGGTTTGCTAAAGGAGGGGAGCTACTGTGGGATTCCTGCTCCTTCTCTGTTTTCTCCCTGTTCCTGAGAACTGCTCTGCTGTTGGTTGTGGCTGCTGCATGTTCATTTGGCTGACTATAACTTTGTATACCTTTTTTAGTATTAGTGCTGTTTCATTAAACGTGTTTTCACTTCAAGCTATGGGTCTCTTCTTTTCCTCTTTTCACCTTCCTGGCTGATGAGGGGTTGTTGGGTGATAGAGCAACTGTTAAAGTTTAGCCCTGGATATGGGCTAAATGTAGACAAGAGGAAAATTGCAGGGAAACAGCAATCAAAATATTTTCTTCTAGAGAATTCTTGTGTTTGTGTGCATGAAATAATGAAGGGTAAACATGCTAAACAAAATCTGTTCAATGAATGTAAATCTCTCCATAACTGTATTATTTGCTATATTAACTATAATTTCTGTATAAAACTTAAACATGAGTGAACCATTCTGTCCTAGAAGATTAAAACCACTAAAAAGTACTTTCAATACATTACAGAAAAGCATCTCGCAACTAAAAAAAAAGTAAAATCCTTCTGAAAATCAAACTAAGAAATACAATTTTCATAAGAATCTATCAAATGCTTTGCCAAAGAGGTATTGCATTTTAACTTTTGTTAGATGACTTTCAAATATTTCAACGCTAACAAAGGGAAACTGGTTACCAGAGCCATCTTCTCCAAGAAAGGATAAGAAAAGACTACTAGTTTGGTGTAGAACAGAATGTATAGAACCAAGAAGTCAGTTCTTGGGAAATAAATGCTTATCAAGTAAATAAGAATTTGTTCTTAAGAGTAACAAAGAATTACATGCAAATAATTAGCAGTTTTACTCTTCTAGCAAGCGTTTAGGTGAAATGTTGTTTCAGAACCATGAGCAAACGATCAGTTTATCAGAGCATTCTATAACATGGGCTTTCTAAATAGTTATTAAGATGTGAACCTAAATGCATTTTAAACATATTAATAGAAAAACATTGCTCAAAATATACAAATGTATAGCTATACTAAGCAGTACTTTGCAAGGCATCTATAACTCCTTACAACTTCTGACAAAACACTCTTTGTAAGTGCTACTTAAATAAGATTTTAAAGATATGAGTATCAATATTCTATAAGAAGCCAATACTGATAACATGCTGCAGATTCCCCTATACTACTTGACATTATAAAACAGAATATGGAACAATGAACTGGCAAAAACTTATAATTTGTTAAATACCTAATCTTTGAAGTCCAAATTGTCCATAATCTTTACCCTGGATGAATCCTTGAAAAACATACGTTGCTCCATCAGGTGCAGCAGAAACCTGTAAACAAAAAGCACTCTGAATTAAATGGGGAAAGTTTGTTACAAGTATCTATTTGGAAGAGAGATATCCTAATATGCTTGACTTGTAGCTGTTATTCCCCATTAAGAACACCCTATTTTTTTCTAGGAAATCGATAAAGTTCAAAAGAAAAGACAGAACTCTTTAGGCACAACTTAGGTAGCTTAGAGTCACATATACTACCTTATACTAAGTTGAACTGTACTATTTTTTAAAACCAACAAAACTTAAAGTTTCTGGCAATTCAAGATGACATTATTTCTGAGCATCTTACGTACTTCATAATTACCTCATTTGTTTAAGAAGCAGATGGCTAAAGTTACATTGTAGATAATCCTAAGGATGCAAGCATTGAGGTTTTAATAATTACTTAAAAAGTAACTAAAAAAGACCTCTCATTCAGTTGACAGATAGTTCCTTTGCTCTTTATCAGTGCTTACCCCAATTATTACTTAATTATACAGCTATAGACCAGAAAAATATTGAATGAGGCCTTGGTACAAAAGAGCACAATATGCTAGTATAAACTAAAAGACCTGTGGGAGAAAGGAAAGTGTTGTAATCCTATGAATATCTCCCTTATTGTGGTAAGTAAATTCTAAACTAACACATTGTATTCAAATTTACAGATACTTGCTTCCCAGGACAGTTATTAGGTTGAAATTCATAGTCCTGAGGCAACTTCCTCCAAGACTTTCCCTTAAGCTTCCCTTTCTCAAGGCAACAGTATGTCTTCAGCAATGTCATGAAGCTATGTTTTCGCTGAAGAAAGGGTGAATTTCTCAGGTGAATTTCTTACTTTAGGGTAAAACAATCTGTTTAAGCTATTCCAAGGTTTACAAAAAAAAAAAAAAAAAAAAAAAAGTCAAATAAGAACAGTATGTGTATAGCATATGAATGTAGCGACTGTACTGTGTACTTCTGTACATTTAGAAGTCTCAAAGTAAATTTCTTGCTTGTACCATAATTTTTTCACCACAGGAGCATGCTCGTTAAGCCTAGAATTTGTACAAACCAAGGGAGTTAAGCCCTTTTATCAGTATTTTTATTAAGTGGCTTAGATTTTTTTGCTTTGGTTTTGCACCTTTTAAAAAATTATTATTGAAGTAGTGCCACAAATTATACAATATAAATTTACGAGTAATTCAATGTACACCACTTCTCTTCTTTTGGCATGTGCATCCATATTGGTGTCCCTGGAGTCCTTTATCAGTAGGTGAAACATAGGAAAACACAGATTCCTTGAAAAATGAGATGGTATAATATGGATGTATGACTGTTCATCCTCATCCAAATTATTTTTGGCCCTTTCTTTTCTGAAAAATCTACTTTCTTCTCTGGCAAATAAAGTGTCTCAGCACGCAAGACACTCAGCTTTTTCCAGCTTTAGCATTATCTTGGACAATGTTTGTTTTTCCTGTCTGTTCTCAGAAAGAATTTCCTTTTTATGGTTTAGACACATCCTAGCTACTGGGGCTGTTGCTTTTTCTTTTTATCCCTCTCCTTCACCTCTCCTCCTCACAGTTACGCGCTCTCTTCTTCTTTTTAAAGAATGCTCCATTATATATCATGATTATAAAATTTCTCAATATATTGGAATAAAACTCAAGAAGTAAGAGAAAGGCTTCTGTGTTAGCATGCTTTATAATTGTGACTACACAGTAGAACTACTCCCATATTTTCCCTCAGATTGGTCTCCTATATATTACATTAAAATTTTTATTTAATGAATCAACATTTTTTGATATATCTCAGGATTTTTTGGGTGTAGAAAACCAGCATAATTAAAAAAAAAAATTAAATCTTTCTCCCTCTTTTTTGTAGTAGAAATATACTTACAAAACCATCCATAGCCCATTTTTCCTCTTTCAACTTGCTCACAGATGTATGGGAGGGTGCTTTAATGAGATATATGTGGAGCATTAGCCGAGCTTCCTGGCTTTTATACACTCCTGTAGAACATAGTTTTAAAAATTTATGTCTGTGTTGAGAAATAATTTCATCTTTAAGAATAAGCATATAGTGTCTGGTCTTGAAAAGGGAAAACAGGAAGAATAGGTAGCATTGTTACCAACATTTTAGTTAAGCAAGATGCATTCCTTTGTGGAACTATTTCAATTATCATAGGATTTCAATAGAAACTGGTTTTAGCTCAGCCTGTAGACAGGACAGAAGGGAAAACCTATACGCACAGCTGTTAATTAGTAGTTCTGGTAACAAGGTTTAGACGGAACAAAACTTGACAGTAATCTGATTTGAGATGGAAAATACTGTTCTGAATGAGGCAAAGTATATTTGAACCTCGCATCCCCACTTTCAATATCTGTAATTTAGTCATCAGGTAAAGAAGGTGATAATAATAATATCCACAACTAAACTCTTTGCCAAAAGGTGGTGCTAAATTAAAAATTTCTAAATTTGAAAATATCTCAAAAAATTGATTTGTTCTTCATCAGTCAATATTATGACATAGTTTGTTCCAGACAATAAGACTTGTATATAACCTTACTTACTTCGTAGGAATAATTATTTGACTCATTTTCATTCCTGGAGAAGTAATGTTTAGAATTCAAATAACCTTATTGATTAGTTTGGAGAATGAAAATAGTACTATATGCTTAGTGTTTTAATCTTTCATTACAAAGACAATGGTGAATAATGAAATTACAGACAAGATTTCTTTCCCCCACATTTTTAACCATTGTTATCAAATACTGGTTTTAAACTTCAGATTTTTAAATAGAAGACCTCTCTATTAAGATCACATCCTTCTGGCAGAGCACTGAAATTACTATTCATTTTATATAAAGTCTTCTATTTGTAGAATCACACAAGTTTATATTGCACTTTACATGAACAAAAGCTCATGATGGCTAAATTTAGACAGTAACAAAACTAAAACCCAAATCAAGAACAAACAAAAATCTACTTAAGCAATTATACTTCCACCTCCAGAAAATTCTACCAAACTGAACTTAAAATTCACTGATTTATTGACTCAATCACAGAACAGACTTCATACTGTAAATGAATTAGACTTAGACACTGGCTTTCATGCCTCGGGTTTTTTGGTTTTTTTTTTTGTTTTTTTTAATTTTACTGACTAACAAATGTGGATGATTTCAGAATAGATTTAGTTGGTATGTGCTAGCTACACATGAACTAAACTAGACCTCTCTTAATTAACTAAAGACTCCAGTAACATAGCAGTACCCTTAATTTCGATCATTTCCCATTTTTATGGGAATTTTCATCCAAATTCTGTGATATGAACAAGAACTGAAGACAGCACTGAGACATAGAAGATACTGGCTTTCTGTACTGGGTTTGCATAGCAAGGTTTTGGTAGCAGAGGGACTGCAGGGGTGGCTTCTGTGAGAAGCTGCTGGAAGCTTCCCCTGTGTCCAATAGAGCCAGTGCTGGCTGGTTCCAAGACAGACCCACTGCTGGGCAAAATTGACCCAATCAGTGACGGTGGTAGAGCCTCTGTGACAACATATTTAAGAAGGGTGAAAAAAACCAACCCTGCACAACAGCAGCAGAAGTCAGAATAGAGGAGTGAGAATATGTGAGAGAAACCAAGGTCAGTGAAGAAGGAGGGGGAGGAGGTGCTGCAAGCACGGGAGCAGAGCTACCCCTGCAGTCTGGGGTAAAGACCATGGTGAGGCAGGCTGTTCCCCTAGAGTCTCATGGAAGTTAATGGTGGAGCAGATACCCACCTGCAGACATTGATGGACCCCACATCAGAGCAGGTGGGTGCCTGAAGGAGGGTGTGACCTCACAGGAAGCCCACACTCGAGTAGGCTCCTAGCAGGTCCTGTGAATCCATAGGGAGAAAGGAGCCCATGCTGGAGCAGGTTTGCTGGCAGAACTTGTGACCCCATGGGGGACCCGTGCTAGAGCAATCTGTTCTGGAAGGACTGCATGCCGTGGAAAGAACACATGCAGTTCATGAGGAACTGCAGCCGGTGGGAAGGACCCACTTTGCAGAAGTTTGTGGAAGACTCTCTCATGTGGGTGGGACCCCATGCTGCAGCAGGGGAAGAGAGTGAGGAGGAAGGAGTGGCAGAGATGACATGTGATGAACTGTCTGCAACCCCCACTCCCCTGGGCTGCTTGGAGCAGAGGAGGTAGAGAATTCAGGAGTGAAGTTGAGCCTGGAAATGTGGGGGAGGTGCAGGGGGGACGTGTTTTAAGATTTGGTTTTATTTCTTATCACCCTATTCTCTTTTGACTGGCAATAAATTAAATGAATTTCCACAAGTTGAGTCTTTTGCCTGGACAGCAATTGGTGAGTGATCTCTCCCTGTCCTGAACTTGACCCATGAGCCTTTTATCATATTTTTCCTCCCTCGTCGAGCTGAGGAGAGGGAGTGGCAGAGCAGCTTTCGTGGGCATCTGGTGTCCAGCCAAGGTCAGCCCACCACACTCTCCAGTGAAAAAAAAATAAGGAAGGATGGAAGGAAGGATGGAAGGATGGAAGGACAGAAGAAAGGAAGGAAATACTCAGGTACTTAATGCTCTTTGCACCTTAAGTTAGAAAAGGAAGAAACGGTGGCACAACTAAATAGCTTAGTATTAGACTGCAGTGCCACAAAGACCTGAGAGGCAGCAGAGTTTTTTGGACTAATAGTGTTCTGTTATACATGATCAGAATAAAATTGCGGGTGATGTTATTGTGTTAAAACAAATTTCAGAGAAGAAAAAGCATGGTCACATCTGTCTTGCTGGCTGCCAATCTGAGAAAAACAAAACTTATAAATGGAAACAGAACACATGCACAGGTAGATCCTAGCTAAGTAAAGACTTTTTACTTTGTCCTCTCCATTAGTTTATTCACTCCAGGCTCTCACTACAGCAAGATGGGTATTCTCAAAAGTTCCATTCAGGTTAAAATGCAAACTTCCTAGACCTCTTCAGAAGCTGCAGGAAGAGACAGGGCAATGAGATTCCTAATTCAGGTTTCTCATTTACATGCCTAAATGCACAGAACAAAAGCCTTCTCCACATTAAGGATAGGTGATTGCCCTATAGGAGGTATCATTATATATAATTAATCTTTGAGCTAACAAGCAGACTTACTGTCATCTTAATGCTGCACTGAGTTCAAACGAACGTGCCTTGGTAAGACAGGGTTTATTCTCTTCTCTTTAGGACTCCATTAACATTATCACGCAGAATTTCATCACTTCAAGAGCTTGGACAGTGTGTCTAGAAATCATTTGGAACTTGGGAAAAAAAATCAATCATGTCTGCCATGAATGTCTTATAAATGTACATTAGGAAATACTTGCATGAGGCTGAGGGCTGTGGTGTGTGTACATGGCAATGAACGTTATGTACGCACACTCAAACAAGAGCATAGAGAAAAAAATATCTTGCAGACCAAGGCACCACTGTTCTCTGCTAATTTGCAATGGTGGATTTGCAAGCATTTCTTGGTGAAAGGCCGACATGCTTCTTCGGAGCTGGCAGCTGGTTTCCCAGTGTACAACAGAGTGTTTAATCTGAGCCAAATAAACAAGTAAAGGCTGTACCTTTCTCTTCTCTTAATCTCTATAATAGCATTGCTATTTTCATTCATGCTAACCTGATCAAAAGAACCTGCCCATTTCTAACCTGTGACAGACATATAGTATAATTACAGCAAGCACAGCTGTCAAAATAAAAAGAAGTTAAAAAAGATGCGGCAAATGATGGAATGCAAAACAGCAGGTGCTGCATGGGCAGAGAACTACTTTTCGTTTCAGAAACCTACAACTCGAGTATAGGAGAAATCAGCTTCCTGGCATCTAAATGTCTTTTTTGATCCATCCCTACTTCCCTGGCCCTAAGACACTCTT